GATCCCTGTACCTATTCCTTATTTTCTTGAAACTCAGAAAGGAAAATTCAGTGAAACTCTGCGATTACTGAATGAACGAGCTTGGAAAATAACGCTTATCTCGGGAAGAAATACCGTTCGCCGGTTTCGAAGCTATCGTTACGTTATCGTATAATGCTACAACATTATTCATATTTTCTGATTTTAATTCTTGTCTATCAGTAGCGCTGCGGTGCCTAAATCGATACGTTAGAAATGTGAAAAACGTGAAATATGATGCGAGAATCAGGTGAATCCCAAAACATGGGATACGGAAAAGCATTGGCTATGTGGTCCTATCAGTGCTGCGATAATTTCGAAACCAACTACCATTAGTCGGTACGTTGCTGTCTGCCACTAACGAGATCAGTACCTTCTCTCTGCCATACTAACCACATCGATACGAAGCAAGAAAGGTAGGTAAAACTGTATTGATCGCGCGGTACGCATGCGTACGCGCTAATCGGATCACATGTTGGAAGAGCGACGCAAGTCGAATCGGCCAGCCAGTGCAAGCAACTGCGCTACGTTCGGTGTGCACGGCTGAAGGTTTAAGTGGTCACGGCGTAGAGAACCGTTCGCGGTCAAACACGTGTTTCGAGGTGATTGCGGAGGAGAGTCGCGTCGCAACGGCAGGCCTAATCGCTCGTTCTACCGAATGGTACATGTTTTATTTATTAAATTGTCGGATCATTCGTCGGACACTTCATTAATACTGTGAAAACATCTTTGGTGTCTTGGGTGAACGGCTAGGCTGGCTAGTAATCTACGTTCTCCCCTTCAAATGCGAAACATCTCTCGGCCGTCTGTTCAGTTTCATCTTCATCTCCTGCACCGGGCATCTTTCTCATCTTTTCCCCCCTTTCCTTTGACTCATGGCCTACGAACGATACTTCGTTGGAACTAAAAAGAAATAGTAAGTAACTGTTGTTTGATAAGCAAGTGATTGACCATTGACGATAGAGTGTGTATATGTGTGTGTGTGTGTGTGTGTGTGTGTGCAATGTTTCGACGTTCCGAATTTAAGAGGATTGAAAATGAATTATAACGGATTATGAGAGCCGAGGTTCACGAACGTATGCTTCGTGGCATTGTAAATTGAGCAACGGCCCGTATGGTGCGGAACAGCACGGTATAGATAAAGCTGCATTGCGACGATGTCCCGACTGAAGTGTACACTCGTGTGAAATCCTACGATCGTTTGTCCTCGATACAAATACATTCGACGTGACGCTCGGGGTAAATCGACGGGCGATTCGTTCATTTCCATCGATCAATGACGTCCGCCGTTATTTGATCTATACGGCCACTCTCTAAATGAAACGTTTTAACATATCGTTGGACGTTGTGTTATTTGAATTTGATTTATCAACTTGATACTAGAACTGCCAGGATAGTCGAAATATTTCCAATTCATAATTTCTCGCAGAAATTTTATAAATTTGCAATTCACAGCTTGATTTCACACTAAATTTCTAGTCTCTAGTTTTATAGTTTTATACAAATTGTGTAACAGTTATATTATACTTGTAATTGGTTCCATTTTCGAGGCAAATGCTTCATCTGAAATCCACTTCTTGAAATTTTTATTTATTATTCGTGCGTCGAGTATCTTCTTTCTCTCTAGTTGGTGGCTTGAAATTGAAGACGTTAAATTTAGTTTCATTGCTTTGCAATGTCACGTAGACAGAGATGGTTGAAAAGGAAAGGATCGATCCGAGCATTGGTCAAATTATATCGTTTATACACCGACAGCCTTGGCATGCTTGTTGCTCGATATTACATCCTCTTCCACCCTCGCGATTCCTGCTGGCAGCTTAATTTGAAATTCTTGCGGCATCGAACTTTCGATGGAGATGTTGACACGATCGATGATCTACTTTCAGATTTTGAAAGGGCTCTTCCCTCTGTTCTTCATCCCTCGTAACATCGCGGTTTTCAAACAAACTTCACTCGAGTGCTCCGTCAAAACGTACAGAGGACAATGATAAAACGAAGGACAATGTTTATGAATTTCGCCTTCCGGTGTAGTATATCCATTCTTATTGACATAAATGACATAGATACAGATTTCTGCAAAGAAGATTATTTTCTTGTTAAAAGCAAATCTTCAACAAATTTCGAATATCATTAAACCTTAACTTATAAGTGATTTGAGTTTAATTTCAAATGATGGATATCTGAAAATATGTATTGTTATTGAAATTTACAGGTCTTAAATGTTGAAAGCTAAATTTGTATCTGGTTAAAATAATTTTCCAAATAAATTTCGTTTAAAGCAGTCCATGTACAATTCGCAGTGAAGTGAAAATATTCCTAAATTTTATATTCTGTACTTTATTTTCTAAAATTTTGCACAGTTGCATTCTTCTACTAAATTTTACACTACATTATCTGTTATTGTTTACTTCTAGAACAATGTAGAATTTCATTACAACATAATTGCAATATTGAACATAATTAATTTTTTTTCCTCTATACAATAAATTGCTTCCAATTTGTGTGCAATGATAAAGTTTCTGCATTACTTTTATTACATTGCTGATAAGTGAAAGCCATGAAATTTAAATGAAGATAAATTTAGCAAAAAAGCACAGTAATAAAGATATACTGAATTACACAAGCGATAATTAATCAAGTTTTCTCATGCGGTTTCAGTCAGAATGAGCTATCTGAAAGGACATCCGTGATTACTTCTTATCATGACCGGTAATGGTAAAAATCTCGTTTGCTCTCTATGTATGTAGCTTTTATTTTACACACTGTTGAATTTCATCGTAAATGAAAATTACTTTCTTGCTTTGTGCAACGTATTATGGATTGTCTATTAATAAACTGAGAGATCTAACAGCGAACAAAGTCTTAGATATCTACACAGCAATAACAAATAAATACAAGTTGATCTGAGATTTCATTTAAAATAAGTTCCATGCTAATTTAACAATTTTTATAGTTCAGAAACAGTTGACAATTTATAATAATACATGGACACAATACGTGGAAAAGTTATAGGTATCTATATACAGAAAAAAACATGAACGAGCTTGAGAAACATTAAAAGAGTGACATCTGTAAGTTACTTTAAATTAAATTAAACTGTTATTATCGTATTTTAAATGAAATTATTTTTGTTATTATTTGAGAAGTATTAAAATTTTTGTAATATATTTTTCTACAATGGAAAACATTTTAAACAATCGTATCAATTTTATATAGCTACCTATCTTTAAAAATGATGAAGAAGAATGGAGGAATATGTTAGCCAGTTAACTTAGTGATTCAATTATTAAGTAAAGAAGTATATTAAATAATTAAGCGTATCTTAAAATTATTATTGTTATAGACACAGAAAATACTTAAGTAGTCTATTTTACGCCAAACAACCTGTATATTTACGTAATGAATGCGTGATAAAGAGGCTAAGAAGGCAGTTGTTACACGTTAATGTTAAAGGTTAGATTACATCGCATGGAACGTGAAAGATGAAAAATAAAAGTTCACTTTGAAAGAGACTTCATAAAGTTGCGCGTAACTTTTAATATCTCACTTGCCTACTCGCATTTCCTTTTACAATAATGTCTTGCAGAAACATTAGTAGTAGCAAGAGCTTGCTTACAAAGGATAATAAACGTTTTCTTTCTCCATAGTTTATTGTTTTCTGCTGCTTTTATCGTAAAAAATATTCTAAATATTTAATGAAATGAGCGCGGCAAATACATTAATTGAAATATATTTATTTAAAATATATTAATATAATTAAAATGTAATTAATGTAAGATTGTGTTGGTCTGAAATTGTAAATCTGACGTGAAATATTAATTCAATAAATAATCGTCAATTTTTTATATCATAAAAATTAATAATTTATGTGTTGGAAGAAATTTGAAATCGATATACTTTGGAAAATGATTTGCATTGAACACTCACCAATAATTTTGACAATCTACGTATCGATTATCGCAGTATAGTCTGCATGAATGATTATATACATATCCATGCTTCGTAATGCAATAACTTGTTTTATATATTTAATAATAATGATGAAATAATTTAGAGTAACAGCAATTAATTACACAGCATTTGCTTATATTTTGTACTGTTAAAACGCATTTTAATTCGTCTTCGCTAATTTAATTCAAATTCTACTTTATAACGTCTAGCATAATTCATCGTCTAACAACATTCATACACTAGTATTATCTGCAGAATTTCATCAATCTTAAAAATATTTTATCCACAGTTCCATATGATCTTCACGATCGTATTTTACCGCAGAAAAGTGTCTTTCATTCCCTTCATTTTTAACGGGTTCCCCCTTTCTGACACTTATCGCTTTGCGTACGATGCTCGGATATTAAAACGCTCCACGTACTTACAGTCATACGTGTCTTGTTGACCTACATACATTCTCAATGTGCCTTTTATTGCTTGTCTAACACTATTTTTATTTTCGTCGCGAGCGTGACGATGCTCGTTAGACGACAAAAGGGAATAAGCTTATACAAGTTTGTTTTTCAACCAATATCGTTAATCGAGCAATTTTATTATCGAAAGAAGATGTTTCCTATTGGTATTACGCGAAGACTGCAAACACGTGTCGATAAAGACAATAGATTCTTTTGACGACTAGCAATCAACCCAGCTGGGAAAACTGATATTGATTCAAGTTTGTTACGATGTACAAATTTAGATGAAGGATTTTCGATTCGTAGGTTTCGTTATGTCGTATACAGACGTACAATAACGTGGTTAATGATACTTAATAGATCTGATCGCATTGTCAATTTCATTGGTATGTAATGCTATTATGTTACATTATATTGTATAATAATGTATATTAT